AACAAAAAACCCACTCCCAATCATTCCCCAAGTGAGAAACAATCTCAGATCCAAACTATCACCCAAATGTCCAGCAACATACATTCCTATAGAGTAACAAGCAAGAAACGCCACATCAATCTCTCCCAACCTAGACGTCCCATCTTTCCCATTAAACGGTTCCCATCCTTTAGAGTTACGATGCAACAAAACCTCATCAATTTCTCTCTTCACAAACACGTTGCCCATAGGCCAAGGATAAACTTTGTTGCTGTTGTGTTCTTGAGGTGGCTTAGTGCTCGAGTCTGGGTGTAAAACGCTTTTCACTATGCTGCTTGGTTTACGAGAAGCATGGTAACAAGCATACGCGATGAAAGTAATCAACAAAATTGCGTACCGGAACGTCTTTGGACTCCAATTTCTTCCTCTGACTCTCCTGAGAAGCGCAATCCCAGGTGGTGTTTTCCTCTTCGAATTCATCGCCATCTCTCACAACACAAAAAAAACTCTCCCAAAAACAAAATTTTCAATGATAAAAAAAAAAAATCAACCTTTACGGATCAAAATCAAATACCCAAATCCATGTTTGATGTATGATAAATCAGAATCACGAATTAGTTTGATTGAGAGAGAAAGATTAGAGAGAAGAGACCAGAGGGAGAGAGATATTGGCGGGAGGGAGAGAGAGAGAGAGCACGACGTAAACTGTGAAGATACGACACGTGTCCTCTTTGTTACGGTAGAGCCAAAAGGCAGAACAACAGTTGTCATGCCACGGTGACCACTTTGGTACGCATGAAGCGACGGCGCGTGGCCCACACGACGACGTGGTGGTGGGCCCATATTATAGGTTTATGTAAGGAAAAAAGAATCATCATAAGCCTGGGTCAAAAGCCGCCTCTTTATTGATATTTTTATAAATCATAGTACTATAATATTGATAATAATACTAAAGGCCCACTATAACAACGGCCCATACAGAAATGTCACACGTGCGACGGCATACGTGTGCCAAAATTGGAAGCGAAAAGCAGATAAGGCTCTTTGCCACTAGCTTCCCTCCATTTTCTCCGAGTAACTGAGAGTTTGAAGCTATGGCGACGAGCTTTCATCGTCTTCCTCAGGTTTATATACATACGAAGCTTTTGAAATCTGGATTTGTATTTGGCGTTTTCACTTAATTCATTATTGTTGATTAATTACTTTGTTTTTATGGGATTCAGGCATTGCATATGACACCGAGAAACCCTACGCAATCATCGAAGAATTTAGGGTTTTCTTCGTTTCTATCATGCGCACCATCGATGAATTCTCGTATATCAGTTTCTAGGCTCTCTCTGAATCATTCCAGCTCGAAATTTGGGTTCTCACTCGATACTAGGGTGAGAAAGGAGTTTATCGTTAGAGTAGAAGAAGGTAACACTGAAGCTGAATCTGAAGAAGCTGTTGCTGAAATCGCTGATACGGAAGGCAATGTAGAAGAAGTTGGTGAAGCTAAACCTCAGAGAAAACCGAGGATCAAGCTCGGAGATGTCATGGGGGTGAGTGAACTTCTCTGTGTCCACATTTGTGTTGAGTGACTTGCTTTCTTGATTTGTAGTTATCTTACAGGCAATGTTGAAGGAGATTGAATGTTATTATCTGTTGATTGTGTAGATACTGAATCAGAGAGCAATTGAGGTTTCAGAGAAAGTGAGACCTGTTCCAGAAATCAGGACAGGAGATATTGTAGAAATCAAATTGGTAAGTTGTTGATGTTTTTGAAGCCTTCTATGTTGTGCGTAAGTTTTTGATATTGAGATATGGTGTTGAATTGCAGGAAGTTCCTGAGAACAAACGTAGGCTATCTATCTACAAAGGCATAGTGATGTCGAGACAAAATGCAGGCATACACACTACCATTCGTATTCGGAGAATTATTGCGGGTATTGGTGTTGAAATCGTGTTTCCCATGTGAGTTTTTTTTCTCTCTCTCTCCAATTACCATTTGGTATAACATACTTTTGATTGTGAGGTTCTCCCATATGTTCTAATATATTCATAAGCCTTCTTCATGTAAGAGAAAACTAGCAACTGAGCCTTACGTTGACCCATGCCTTGTCAATAAACCGAGTTTATATTGATACCGAATTATACTTTTTATTTCTTACAGAAAAGTCCCTGAGTAGTATTTAGATTCTGTGCATAGATTTAACTTTAATAAGTCCTTAGTTGCTGTTTTACCTTCACAGTTATGGCAGCCTAAATCATTATGGCAACTATCATGTCTGCTCATGTTTCCTATCTTTCTTTCTACTGTATAACATATGAGTCAAGAGAAACTTCCTGTACTATACCGGTTCTATTTTACAGTGTGCTATTTAAGAGAAATGTGTTGATTCTCCTAATCGTTTGATTTGACAGATACTCTCCCAACATCAAAGAGATAAAAGTGGTGAGTCACAGAAAAGTGAGAAGAGCAAGGCTTTACTATCTAAGGGACAAGCTTCCTCGTCTCTCCACTTTCAAGTGAACACCATCCACCGTGTTGTGTTTGACCTTCAGAGGTAGTAATCTTCCGCTTTGTGCTCTGTTTTTGTAAGAATTGTTTCTTCATTTCGTAAGCCTGTAAGTCATTGCCTGCATATTCTTGCGAGAAAGTAAATCAAAGATTTGTTGAACTTCCTGTTGTTAAATGTAGACCTGGTGTTTGTTTGATAATGACTGATATCTGATCTTTTAGGATTTAGGATCTCAATATAGACTTAGTTTCATACTTTAATAGTAAATACATTGGAATCTGTCTGTTTGATCCAAAACAGGGTTTGTCTTGGACCTTTAACCCTCAACTTCCCAAATCGTTAGCAACAACCTGTCCTTGTATTGATTACAGTTCACGAATAGCAACTTGTTGACTTCCCAGTTGTACCAACTCAAGGCCACACTCCTTAAACTGACTGAAACAACATCAAGTAGGCTAGAACTTAGATTTAAGGATGAGTTTAACTGCTTAGGCTTTAATTGTCCTTTCTGTGGTTATTTATGGTCTTTTACTGCTTCTTTGACATGTTAAATATTATGAAAAAACAGAGATGCGTATGGAGTATGACTATAGAAAATTCACCACTCTTACTTGATAGAAAAATAAACAGAACAAACCATCAGATAATAAAGACACCACAAGAGCATAAGGAAATGCTTCAATACAAGACCAAAACTACGTGACAGACACTGAAGCATCAAACTCCAAAACGAAACGTTTCTAATGGTCTCAATGCTTATTCGGACCAATTATCTTGGCGAGCCACTCTGGTTTATATGAAGCAATGAATTGTGCTATTGCCAATCCAAGCAACACTCCAGGTCCATACCCTATTGCTACTCCTTTCCAGTTCAACACTTGTCCCTCTTCTTCGTCTTCTTCCATATGCTGTTGTGTTGGTGGCACATTAGTACCAAAACAAGTTTCCTCCAAAGGGAGACCACATAGCCCTGCATTACCTTCAAAAGATGATTTAGATTGCCCAGTAATCTGTGTTCCTTGTGGTATTTCGCCTTTGAGTTGGTTATGAGACACGTTTATGTACGCCAAGAACGAGAGGGTCCTTAGTCCATTAGGAATAGTCCCAGAGAGTTGGTTTTTTGATAGGTCCAGTGACTCGAGCTCCGTCAAATTAGCAAATGACAGAGGAATATGACCTGTGAAGGCGTTATTCGAAAAGTTGAGTGCAATAAGTGCTTTCAAGAGACCGATGGACTCGGGAATCTGTCCTTGAAGTCTATTCCCAGAAAAATCAATGGTGGCATACGAAGTGAGGACCTTAGATTGCTTCATAGATAGACCTTTGTATTGCAAATCTAGTAAATCCGAATAGGTGTAGGTAACAGTACTATAAGAATTTCTATCGTACTCCATATACAAACTCCCATCTTCATTCATCGTGAGGGATGATGCTTTCCAATTGACAAAGTAACTTGGTGGCAAGCTTCCAGTAAACTTGTATCTCAAATATTCGCAGCTCGGGAAATCCAAGAGGACCTTGATGAGGAGGAGATATAGGACCATAGAAAGCGTTTGAGCGTAGAGTAAGGACTTGCAAGTTCGGTAAAGCCTTGAGCCAGAAAGGAAACGTATCTTTGATTTTGTTCTTGTCAACGACAAGTAACTCCAGAGAAGAGCAATTTAGAAGAGACCTTGGAAGCGTTCCAGTTATTAGATTGAAGCCAACATCTAGTGTATGTAGAGGTGCATTGGCATAAAACACGTCAGGAATACTTCCTTCCAAGTTGTTTCCCCGGAGATTCAAAATCTTCAAGTTACTCAGACATGGAGGAATTGGACCAGCGAAGTTGTTGTAGCTTAGTTCCAGGACAACAAGCGAGGTTATGTTGCAGACTGAAAGAGGTATGTCGCCTCTGAATCTATTCCTACCCGCAGAGAAGGAGAGGATATATAGTGGCAGATGAGGAAGTGCTCCTTCTAAGTTGTTTGACTCCAAATCTAACATCCGCACCGATGAATTTACCAAAACTTCTGCCGAACCTTCGAAGCCACTGAACAAATTTTCTGTCGTAAACACTGAGCTCAGATAAGGAAGGCTCCATAACCACTCAGGGATTTTCCCATTGATTGGATTGCCAGACATCTCTAAAGAATCCAAATTCTGAAGGGTATTTAAGATGTTTGGGAACTCTTTGATGCCACACTCATTCAAGTACAACAATTCCAGGGTCAATGAAATGTATGAATCTGAACTTAAACTGGCCGGAGAGATATTGTTACCGGAAAGGTCGAGGTATAACAAAGATTTGAGAGAGGACAAGAGACTTAAGTCAAGTGGGTAACTTGTGTTTAGGAAAGAAAGGCTTAGCTCTTTGAGGTTGATGAGCTTAGAGATAGGCTCTAGGATTTGTCCTTCAAAATGGTTATAGCCAAGGCGTAGATGCTCGAGCTTATATGGCAGATAGGAGTTTGGAACTTCAATAGGACCAGTGAAATGGTTTTCACTCAAATCAAGATGTGATAAGGAAGGCATAGTAAATAGTGAAGGAGGAATGATTCCAGAGAAGTGATTATTAGCAAGTTCTACAAGGATCGGAAGAGCTTGGTTAGATTTTGTACAAGTGGGAAACTACCAGTGAGTTCGTTTGTGTCAAGGTACAACTGGGTTAACAAGGTTAGGTTACTATATGTGGGAGGAACTTGACTGGAGAAACCATTATTGGAAAGACACAAGACCTCTAGCTTTTTGAGATTGCCAAGTTCAGAAGGGAGAAGGGAGCTGAAGTTATTGTAACTGAGATCAAGGTAACCAAGGTGGTGCAACTCAAACAGGCTACTGTTGGGATTCAGATTTCCAAAGAAGTGATTATGAGAAAGCTTTAAAACACTGAGCTTGCTTAGATTCCGAACAAGTGGGAAACTACCACTGAGATCGTTTTGGGAAAGGTCTAAAACGGTAAGCATGCTTAGGTTACTAAATGAGGAAGGAACTTGGCCGAGGAAACCATTAAAGGAAAGAGATAAAACCTCTAATTTGTGGAGCTTTCCAAACTCGGAAGGGAGTGAAGAGGATATGAAGTTGTTGTATGAGAGATTAAGGTAGCGAAGATGATGAAACTTGAAGAGGCTACTGTTGGGCTTCAGAGTTCCACTAAGACAACCACTTGGAACTTGTAGCTTCGTGATTTCACCCGTCGTGTTATCGCACCAGACTCCATTAAAGTAGTTTGTTAGATTGCAACTATGGAAATCAAACTCGTTCTTAAACTGTGTAAGGGCTTGAATCTGGTGGGGAAGACAAGGAACAAGACCACCAACAAGATTATTGATGGTGAAGAAGCTTGAAGGGGTGACAGAAGAGAGTAAGAGTAGCGAGAGAAAATGCAAACGCAAAAACGGTCCCAACATTATGGTGGTCATGAAAATTTGAAGAAGGAACCGATTATGGTTTAAGAAAAGTGAGAGAGAAGATTGCTATAAATAAATAAAATTAAGTGAGGCCGTAACTGATTATCAATAGTTTGTTGAAACGTTTCTCTTTGAATTTTCTTGTATTACATTGAAGAATTTGGGGTCTCACAGTGAAATGGCACTAATTGTTCTAGTGGAGATAAGACTTTGTCAAGTTTCAAAAAGAGCTTTTATAGTCATGAAGTGAAATCCACGTTAGATAATATTTCTAACGTATAATTTGGATTGGTATCACATCTTTTTGAAAGTCAACACCAACAATCGAAAGAATCAATTTTTACCTATCTCCCTGTTAGAGGATTTAACTTGCCGATGCGAAATTGCCATGTTTCGTAGTCATATAAAATACCGTCTACATGCATAATTTGTCCCAGTACTGTTGTTGCAATCTGTATCCATGACCCGAGTCGATAGTAGTTTTGGTCCACAGTGTATTGATCATGACATCCGAGATTTCTTACTTATCTTTAGTTGCTGTTTTACCTTGCCAGTTATGGAAGGCTAAATCATTATGGCAACTATCATGTCTGCACATGTTTTCCTACCTTTCATCCTGGTGTATAACATACGAGTCTCGAGGAACTTCCTGTTATATAGCGATTATTTTCTTACAATGTGGTATTTAAGAAAAGTGTTGTGTTGATTCTCCTAATCGTTTGATTAGACAGATACTCTTCCAATATCAAAGAGATAAAAGTGGTGAGTCACAGAAAAGTGAGAAGAGCAAGGCTTTACTATCTGAGAGACAAGCTTCCTCGTCTGTTCACTTGAACTTTCAAGTGAACACCATCCAGAGGTAGTAATCTCCCGCTTTGTGCTCTGTTTTGTAAGAATTGTTTCTTTCTTTCTTTTCCAAGCTTGTAAGAGCATCAGCAATGGTCGTATATAGTAGAATCCTTAACTATTAAAATAAAAGTAAAAATGAAAAGAGGAGAGAGTGATAGAGACGTTTCTCTAATAAGAAACGTTTCTTTACGTTTCTTACACATGTCTTTTTACAATTAGTCTAGTTGAAATACTTTTTAATAAATTATGAATATAATTTGTGTTCACACATATAATTGTGTTCACGCGGAAATAAGAAACCCAAATTGAGAGACGGACCGTTGCTGATGGTCTAAGTCATTGCCTGCACATTTTCTGAGAAATGAATGATATATGACCTTTTTAAGATTTAGGATCATAGTAGGTCCATACTTTAATAGTAAATATTTATGAATGAGTCTGTGTTCTCTGCATTTGTTGTTTGGTGGGTCTTGACTCTTGGGAGTCTTAAAGACATGTTCATGTTTTATTTCTTTGAGACTTCGTCTCAACTATTAGAATCTTGATTTTGATCTTGTGAAGGTGGAACCCAACATTTTATTATTATACTACCCTAATTTGTTTCATTGAATAATTCAGCATAGGTATTACTGTATTAGGATGTGGTCGATGAATTCCACATTATGATGTGTTTTTTCTTTTTTTTTGGGTCACATAATGAGATTTGAATCATTGTTTGCCAAACCTGTATCATCGAAGTTCTAACCAACTATTACTACTGGTAACAAAATAAGAAAACTGAAATATGTAACACTTTGATGTGATAAAGTCTAAGAGACTAAGACAATTAAACGTGTGCATATAACACAAAGTAAAAGCAAAATATTAGTAGATTTAAAACCAAAAGAATTGGAACACGAAGCAGAAACAGCTCTAATTAAAACCAGGTACGAACCATCGAGCATCAGAGAAGAACATGGATGGGAAAACGCATTGTGGCACAGGTTCCATGGTGTGGGTGGTGAGATCATAGACAAATATATGTTTAGGATCCTTTATGGGATGGTTGAGGCCACTGAAATAAATGGAGTTTTTCTTGATCCCTGGGATATCTTTGGCGACGAGAGTGAAACCCATGTCCAAGAGTAAAGCCTCATCACCTAAAGTGTCGATTTTTACCCATCTCTTCGTTAGAGGATTTAACTCGTTGATGCGAAATTGCCAACTTGTGAGGCGATGCATTATTTCTACCAGCACAACTTCTCCATACAATGTGGTTGCAATCTTTACCTTGTAGTTAAGATACTTTTCCCGATAGAATCTATCCTCTTGGTCAATCTCACGATCAACGAAACTAGCAGGTAAATGATACCCGTCTCTGGGAGGGACATCACCAGAGAAATCCCATTCATAGACATGACCATAAGGAACATAAGTGTATACCTTGTGATCTTTGTGATTATAGACAATTTGATCATACATTCGAATTTCACTAGTTTGAACAAATCTCCACGAGTCATAACCTTTCTTTGTAAAAACAATATTGTTATAGATGAACCACACAACTAGGTAATCTTTGGTTATGTCGTCTATCCAGAAACAAGCTGATCGGTTGCATCTGCCATCTTGTTTAAACATATAATGATGTATAAAGAGTAATTGTGGTAGATCAATCCTCTTTCACGTCAAGGGATTAAGAATGTATGGATTCCGAAGATGGTCAAACTCAAACATCAAGAGCCAGCTACCGTAAGTCGCGAGACAAAGACTATGTGCAAAGTCAACACCGAGATCTCGAGTCTTGTAAATTTTGTCTTTATCATCCGGAACAAACAACAAGCAGCTATTGTTGTCGCTGTTGATTGCCTTCTCCTCTAGAGGGAAGAGTATCAGCCACGGAATCAGATTGGGGACGCAGTCTCTGGAAGCAAAGTTCCACGACCTACAAACTGATTTTGCTCGAGTAAGATTTGTGAAACTCAATCGTTCAAAAACACTTCGTAACAAGTCCTGACAAAGCTCTGACCACTTATTAGGAATCACCGAAAGCCGATTCGAATTCTTCTTGCTTTGGTCCATTGCTTACAAATGATCAGAACTTGTTTGACATGCACAGATTTTTGGTTACGAGTCGTACTTCCTTATTTACAGACCCCAAACTGACCTATAATTAGGGTAAAATGATAAGATTATATATTTAGTTTTTATTTTATTTTATGAACAAGATATATATTTAGTTGAAACAATATTATCGAAAAATAGATATAAAAATGAAAATTTATTCCTACAATTATTTTAATTTTCTCTTTTCCCTTTTTTACCACGGTAGCCTCTTGTGCCCTTTTTTGGCAAAATTATTTAAAATCTGTTGATGAAAATGCTTTTAGGATATGGTTAATGATTTGACCAAAAAAAAAAAAAAAAAAAAGGATATGGTTAATGAATTCCTTTAGGATTTCTTTCTCAACTATTGTGACTAGGAGTTTCAAGATAAGAAAATTGAAAGATGTAACAGTTGAATTTGATGGAGACAATATAAAATAGAACCATACTTAGGTTTACCCCTGGAGTGAACCTTTAAATTCACCCAACAGATTATAGCCAATCGTTTTGTCATGTCATTACTAATACTAGAGAATTAAAAAAAAAAAAACACAATTAAAAAAAAAGGAAATCAGAAAATAGATTTAGGGTTTAGGGTTTAGGGTTTAGATTTTACAATTAAAACAAAATTAGATGTCGGTTTGGGTTGTCAAATGAGTGGTTAAGGTTTAGGTTTTATAATTAAACGAAATTAGATATCGGTTTGGGTTGACAAATGAGTGGTTAGGGTTTAAATTTTACAATTAAAACGAAATTATATATCTGTTTAGGTTTGTGAAATATTTGTTATATAAACCCTAAACCCTAAACCCAAACCCTAAACCATAAACCCTAAACCCAGCGTTGAACATATATATAATTTCGTTTTAATTATAAAATCTAAACCCTAACCACTCATTTGGCAACCCAAACCGACATCTAATTTCGTTTTAATTGTAAAATCTAAACCCTAAACTCTAAACCCTAACCGATATCTAATTTAGTTTTAATTACAAAATCTAAACCCTAACTACTCATTTGGCAACCCAAACCGACATCTAATTTCGTTTTAATTGTAAAATCTAAACCCTAAACCCTAAACCCTAAACCCTAAACCTTAAACCCTAAATCTATTTTGTGATTTCCTTTTTTTTTAATTGTGTTTTTTTTTTTAATTCTCTAGTATTAATAATGACATGGCAAAACAATTGGCTATAATCTGTTGGGTGAATTTAAAGGTTCACCCCAGGAGTAAACCTAAGTATGGTTCTATAAAATATATGCATAACACAAATAAACTAACGATCAAAGGATAGGGAAAGCTTTAAAGGCAACATTATATATATAGTAGCTAGAATTAATTAAAACCAAAAGAAGTGGAACACGAAGCAGAAACATGTCGAATTAACCTTTGAAACCAGGTAAGAACCATCGAGAATCAGAGAAGAGCATGGAGGAGAAGACGCATTGTGGCAAAGGTTCCATGGTGTGGGTGGTGAGATCATAGACAAATTTAAGTTTGGGATCCGTTGTGGGGTGGTCGAGGCCACTGAAATAAATGGAGTTTTTCTTTATCCCTGGGATATATTTGGCGACAACAGTGATACTCATGTCCAAGATTATAGCCGCATCACCTAAAGAATCAATTTTAATCAATGTCTCCGTCAAAAGATTTAACTCGTAGACGCGAAAACGCCATACTGGGAGGTTGTAGTGGTGCATTATTTTTACCAGCACAACTTCTCCAGACAATGATGTTACAATCTGATGACTTACTAGATTGAATCTGTTATCGTCACCAATCTGATGATCAGTGGATCTAACAGGTAAATGATGCTTATCTACATGAGGGATATCACTAGCGAAATCCCAAACACAGACATAAGAGGAAGAATACTGAAAGACCTTGTGATCTTTGTGATTATAGATAATTCGATCATTCCAAAACAGACCAGCGGGAAGCCATGTATCATCACCTTTCTTTGCAAAATAACTTTTGTAATCGATGAGCCAAACAACTAGGTAATCTTTGGCTATGTCGTCTATCCAGAGACAAGCTGATCGGTTGCATCTAAAATTTGGATTGAGCTTATTAGGAAAGATAGAGGCTGAATGTGGTAGATCAACCCTCTCTAACGTCAATGGATTAAGAATGTAAAGATTCTGAAGATGGTCATACATCAAGAGCCAGCTACCGTGAGTCGCAAGGCAACAACTCTGCGCAAAGTCAACACCGAGATCTCGAGTCTTGTAAACTTTGTCTTTATCATCAGGAACGAATAATACATAGTGATTGCTACTATTGTTTTCGTTCTTTTGAGGGAAAAGTATCAGCCACGGAATCTGATTTCGTTTGGGGACGCAGCCTCTCGAAGCAGAGTTCCATGATCTACACACTAATTTTGCTCGATTGAGATTTGTTAAACTCAATTCTTCGAAAATACTTCGTAACAAGTCCGGACAAAGCTCCGACCACTAGGGAATCACACCGAGCCGCCAATTAGGATTCTTGTCGCTTTGGTCCATTGCTCAAAATTTCAAAACTTGTTTCACACGCAAGAGATATTTAGGTCTCCTACTTCTCTATTTAAGATCCCCAAACTCTTAATTTTTTTAAGATTATGTAAATTCTTCCATTCTTTGTTTACTTGAAATAGAAATATAAAAATGCATAATATAATTTTCTATAACTAAATTCCCTTTTAGCTTTTTTTTTTTTTTTTTTTTTTTTTTTTTCACTCCCGTAGCTCTTGCAAACTTACAAGCTTGCAATTGTTTTTGGTCATAATCATATTTGTTGGGAGATCATTTTATTTACAAAATAGTTTTGAGAAATATTTTTCTAGTAATAATAAATTAATAATAGACTGTCTAAATTATACCATGCGAAAGGATAAAGGAATTATTGAAAATACAACACAAAATTCTAACTAAATTTATATTTAAAATTTTATTTATGCCTTCTTTATCAGCCTGTAAAAAATAAAAAATAAACATATATTTGATATTATTACACTTTTAAATATAAAAAAACAGACTAATCTTTTTCTATAAAAATAAAACGTCTCACTAGTTTCGAGACAAGTGGTAAAATTAAGGGAAATTGTTAAAAATACCCCTTTTGGTGTGCCCCTTTTCAAAAATACCCCTTTGAGATGTCCATTTTCAAAAATGCCCTTTTTTAAATATGAAAAATTTATAAAATTTTATTAGGTTTATAAGGTACTTATGGATGGTAACTATTACTTGAAGACTCGATCCAAGTATTTATAAGTTTTTATAAAGTGTTTTTAAAGGTTTTACAAGATATTTTAAAGGTTTTTAAAGGTTTTTCAAAGGTTTTACAAGATATTTTAAAGATTTTTAAAGGTTTTTCAAAGGTTTTAGATACTTATTTGTGTATGTTTTAATAATGTTACATACACAAATAAGATTTTAGATACTTATTTTGTGTATGTTTTAATAATGTTACATACATATTTGGGTAAATCTTATATTTTATGAGCATTTTTTATAAGGTTTTAAAGAAGGGGCATTTTTGAAAAATGGCATTGAAAAAGGGTATTTTTGCAAAAGCCCCTAAAATTAATTGAAAGTAAATATGATTATTTTATCTTATTTTATTTTTTGATTTCTTGTTAGAAAATAAATAAATATAAATATAAATATATATATATATTTATTTATTTTTTTAAGTCTCTAATATTTACGTCATATATTCTATCAAATCTGTAAATATGCAAATTTGATAAACTAACAAATTTTGAAAAGAAATGGCTAAAGAAAAACTGCCAATCAAGTTGAATATTAATGACTTTTATCAATTCGTTTTTTAATTAATTTTTATCCGTAACAACTTCATTTGTAATCAATCCAAAGTCCAAACATGTTTGTGAATAAATAAATAAAAAATTTGTCAACAAAGAAAACATATTTTTTTTAATGCTGAAGTAGATACTTATGTGTTAAAATTGAAAATTTGTTGTAATTCAAGTGGTAGAAAAATAAGTAAAAACTACACAAAAGTTGTATAATGGAGAATCCAATAATCAAATATATATTTTAACTATTTGATTATAAAGATAAAATATACAAGTAATTTCTGCATATACTAAAGCAAGGGCATCAACATCTAAGGTCTTTTTGCATTAATCTTTTCACATACACAAAAAGAAAAAGAGGTATTCTTTAATAGTTTGGACAACTCTTAGGTATTTTTGCATTACTCCCAAAAATCTAATAAAGTACTCAATTACTCCATTTTCTGCATTTGGGGAAGTTTACATGATATTACAGTATCTTTTCATCCTATACAAAAAAAGAAAAAGAAAAAAGAAGCAGAAACTAAAAAGGTCCAAAGAAAAGAAACCAAAAAAATGGAACTTAAGTTTAAAAGGGTCACTGAAAGAGAGGTAAGAGAAGAGGCTTTATGTATATATGTATATTATAAGACCCACCTTTATAAACTTAACCACCAAAGAGAAGCCCAAGCAAGACTCAAATAAAAATCCTTCCTTTTTTCTTATGTCTGCAAATTCCAATTCCTAAAGCAGAAACCTCATTTGGTCGTTTTCTCAGAAAGCCTAAGAGTCTCTCTCGTCATTCTCGATCAATCAAGATAAGATATAGAGCTTAAAAATCCTTCTTTTAAACTCTGAGAAGCTCAATGAGGGCTGAAGCTTTGACCTCTCAGAGTTGGTGAAGCAGCTCTGCTTGAGGAAATGACCCATTTGACGGCAAGTCCAGAAGAAGGAGATCTTGATCAGAACTGCAATTACCTTCATAGCCAAACACTGCAGAGCCACCTTCTTGTGCAAACACAGAAGCCAAGCTTCTTGGTCTGAAGCATGAGACATTGTTCTCTGTCATAACTTTGCTTTCATGGCTTGCTTTCATCTTCATCACCCTTTTGGGGCTCCTCATTAGCCCCCTTGACTCTGTGACCAAAATAAGAAAATCAACAAACCACAAAGATTGATTGCAGAATCAACAAGACTGATGAAAATGGTCCTTAAGACTGACCTGACTTTAATTGGGTTTGGTCTTCACAGCGCCTCTTAATGGTTACAATATTTTTAGGTACATTTGGGATTGAGCTTTTTGAAGTTGTAGTAACAGAATCTCCGGTCCCTTTTTCTCGTTCCTGCAGTCACATATCCGGTGAATCTCTGGCCAAAAGTTATTATTATGCCAGTGTTTCAATAAGAGTAAGCCCAACCTTGAGGAGGTTATAGCTTTCCACCAAACGAGATTTGTTGAAATCTGCCAAAGCAAGCTTCTTAAAAGTCCTGATGTCTTCGAGTTTTGCCCCAGAGGAAGAAGAGACATCAAAGACACCATCAGCAATGAGCTGCTGAAACAAAGAGAAGTTGTCCTTGAACTGAGCACTTTCGAACATAATTCTGAGGCTGCAAAGGCAAAACATGACGGATTAGATATTTTGTTTTGGTCTAGTTTCGTTGTTTTTTAAAATGAAATGCAGTTCGAACCTATCAGGAAGGTCATCAGAGTCAATCTGAGGAAGCAATTTCATCAGTTTCTTCTGTTCTTCCTCTGTGAATTGTTCTATGAACTCATTAAAGTTGAAAACATCCTGCAATCAAGTATTTTTTTAGGCAATTGTCACAGAGTCAATTACTTAATTTGACTTCCATATGCAGATATTCAACTTATTGAACAGACTTGGTGAGAGTTGCTTGAAACTTACCTTCAAATCTATGCTACAGAGTGGTGAACCATGGCTCCCCAGGACATGCACTCTTTCAGTTTGAGACTTGTTTCTGCCAACAATTAAAAACGGATCCATTTTTCATCTTTCTTGACTAATTTGCGAGCTAATGTATAGAATATCTTGAAGATACATTTAAGAATACTTTACCTATTGAATTGTTCTTGCTTTATTGTTTGTCCACCATAGTATGAACCTCTCTCTGCTCCAATCTCAACACGCTTCACAGAATGTGAGTATGCCTCACTGATGGAAGACTTATTCTCAATCGAAGAGAGCGAGCTGGCTTCAGACTCCTCTTCCCGAGAAAACGAATGGGGATTCTTCATCAGAACACTCCCATGTCCAATCTCAACAGAGACCATTGTCATTTCATTCTCAAAAAGAAGATCTTCCTCTGATGAAACTGAGAGACACGAAGATTGCTGCTCTTGTAAAATATTGTAAAGGTCCTTTGTGAGCTTTTCAACAGAAGAGGACTTTGGACGGCCCACACACGTCCTCCTCTTGCAAGGAACAGTTGTGTCCCACGCATTAGATTGAGATGGACCTGAAAAAACAAAGTTCACATGGACACTAAAGAGCTATTTTTTAAAATCCCATATTGTTAATCAAACCGAAGAATAACAAAGTAACCAAACCTGATAACTCACTCCCATCTGCACTACTAAACTGTGCACAGCTCTCAGAGTTTGATACAGCCGAACCAGAACTTGATCTATTACTGGCATCCTCCTCTATCACAGCCTTCTTCAAACCATAATTGAATTCCAAGACCGGTCTTTTCATGATGATGTTTTCTTGAATTGCTTTCCTCTTGAGCATCTTTGTCTCTTTGTTCTTATAGCTTACAGAAATGCTCTTCATTCTTTGAAACCTGTGCTGATCATCATTCTCATCACCATCAGCACGAGCATGAAGCGGTGTATAGTTCACAAGTGTTCCCTTTGTTCTCCAACGCGATCCACACGCATTGCACAATACAGGCTTCTCTGGTGGTCCATTTCGCCACAAAGGTGTGTCTGTGTCAATGGAAGAATCAAAATGTCACAAATTTGCAATTGGAGCTTTGAAGTCAAGACAACATAAGAGTTCTTCATCAGACAACACTTAAAATGTGAGTTAATAATGCAAATTCAAACTCCAAATCAATCAGAAGAATAATGATCTCAAATACCAAACATCTTAAAGTCTTTAAGCATCAACCAGAACAAAATTTAGCTCCTTTCTACTACAATTATCAATTATAAACACAAATTCAGATCCCAAGATCATGTCTTTGTTGCCTAATCCATTAATTCCAATCATACTAAGAACAACAACAACACAAGAAACTCACAAACAGAGACAAAGTGTTGTTCTTAAGATCATTCAACAGAAACAAATATATATATTGTTAAAGGAACATAATTCCAAAATGTTCATTGATATTCTTGACTCCAGGAAGTCTTTGCTGTATCACTTCAATCATTATAACAATTAGCTACACAAAAAGCATATAAAAACATGTAATCAAATCATTTTCCCAGAAAAAAAAAAGAGCATCTCACCCAGAAATATTCATATTCATACAAATTTTCTCATCATGAAATAGAAATCGGAGACACTCACTTGTAACTCCACAGTGGTAGCAAGGTCCTTGCTTCCCCATAATCTCTCTATCTCTCTCTTTTTTGTTTTGTTTTTTTCAAAAAAATGAAAATATAATTTTCAGAGGAAAGTTGCAATTTTTATAGACTTAAAGAAGAGATTTTTTTGGAAAGAAATTTAAGTTTATAAATTGTGTTTAATATTCAGCTATAATTGGAATATACAACAAACAAGTTTTAAGAACCTTCTCTCTGCTAAGGAAAAAACCCAGAATTTTTTTTTTCTGCAAATTGAAGCCAAGAAAAAACCCAGAAAATTTCCTATGAGCAACTTCTAGAAATTACAGAAATACAAAATCTTAAAAACTGAGTTTATGAAAATTGACAAAATCAAACCAAGAAAGAGAACAATTTCAAGAAGATAATTTTTTTTATCCTTTGTTTATCTTTTTTTTTTTTTTTGGGGTTCCTTGAGCTATCAGTCTAATACAACAATCCAATAGAAAAGAGAAGAGACTAATTGTGAGAGAGGAATCTAATAAATGGCTGTGAAAAAGGAGAAGAGAGAGATAGAGCAACTTTGAGGGTTTAGAGCGAGAAACTGTTTGTGTATAATAATAAAATGGTCTCTCTTTTTTTTTTTTTTTTTTTGTTCCTTTGCTTTGTTTTGCATTATTATTATGTAACGATGAAGTAATTGTTTCAGCTTCCTTTCATAAAAAAATATGTTTTTTTTCCTCCTTTCAATTTCATTTTAGAAAAAAAAAAAGATTACTTCATCATATAATGGCTTTATTTTTTGACATCATATAAAATGGCTTTTTTTGTCGACATAAAATGGCCACTTTCATTTCATTTTGTTTTCTTTTGTTATTTTTGAAGTAAATGTTTCAGCTTCCTTTCATAAAATTTGAGATTTCTATTTTAGAAAATTAGTTTAACAAGAAATGAGATCTATCAGATTTAATATAAAGTTTTTAGTATTATTTTGGGTAGGAGGAATATTATTGCTTATGCCTAATGGTTCCTTCCTCTTGTTGACTATAGACTTTTCTTTCTTGTTTGTTTTTCTATTGATATTTCCAACAAGTATAATAAATTATTATAACGACAATTTAAAACATTAATGACTATAATAAGAAAAAAAAACTGAGGAAGAAAAAAAGCAGTGGTAAGCTATTTTTTTCTGAAATTATTAACTCCATCAAAAAAGTTTTATCTAAGATACAACACACATATACACCAAAAAAGAAAAAGATACACACATACACTCTTTATCAATAATATTTTATTTTCATGTGTATGTAGATAAATTAGAACCCAAGAAAAAAATGTATATGTAGATAAATATTTTACTCTTTTTTTTTTGTTTAGCCCCCTTTTAAAACAGCTGCTAAAATGGTCACATATATAAGTGAATGCAAGAAAAATAATGTGTCGACAGAATGTGAAATTATTTAACTACGAGGCTATATAGTATATACCATAACGATAGGTAGATTTATTCATGCCTTTGATATTGCTGAATAAGGTTATAATTGGGTTCTTATTTTTTTTTCTTTTACTTAGAAAAGACTAAAGTTTTGTCAACGACTAGATTAAGAGATTAGGTTAATTTTGCCTATTCTTATACATGTGTGACGATATGGTAAAATAAATATTTTTAGCTAGGTGGGATATATTTTTTTTCTAACAAGAGAAGACTAAGAGCATCTCCAACAAGCCCTCAAACCTTCAAATTTAAGGGTTTTTTGAACTCCAACAAGCCCTCAAACCTTCATTTTTTGAGGGTGTGCACCCCAAATTTGAGGGTGCACTATTCACACCCTCAAAATCTTTTTTATATTTGATTTTAGTCCTTATACTTTATATATCTTACAAATAATTCAATTACTTCAAAAATATTCATATAAATTCAAATATATTCAAATTATTAAAATATAAAAGACATAACATTTTTACAAAATAGTTATATAACAATAATATTACATTGAGCAGTTTAACACAAATTTAAATTAATATTACAATAATAAATAATACTTACATTTAATTTTTTAATCATTTTTATGTTTTATTTTATGTTTCTTTTCTATTTTATATATAATTTTGTATTATCATGTAGTTTTTTTTAATATTGTTTGACATAATTTATTTTTATAATGTATGTTTTATATTTACTTATGAAACTTTTATCATTATAACTGATTATTGTTAATATTGAAGACTATAATGTAAATATAAAAAAATTTAGAAATAGATTTGAGGGTGTGTCATTGGAGTAAGTGACCCTCAAACCTTTATTTTGAAGGTTTGTCACCTTCAAAATGAGGGTCCTTGTTGGAGATGCTCTAACAAAAATTATTGATATAATTTTGTGTAATAAAAGAAAAACAACGTTAAAAAATAAAGAAATGGTATGTAAAGTCACCGTCCACCATGACGATCATGGACACAACTCCTCTCTCCACCGTTTGATTTAGTTAAAGATATTCAAACATGGGTCCTACTTATGTTTCTTTGGTAATTTGTGAATGTGATTAGGGAACTAATGCGAGATCAACACCATACATTATATTATACGTGTAATTTATTATAATATTCGGATTTCTTTTGCATTTAACTAGTCTATATATACATTTTTGGATGACTTTTAGCAAATAAATCCTGGAGTTGGACCTTATTTACGGATGAATGCCATTGGCATTAATTATTTAAATTTGAAAAATATTAATTAAAGATATTACCAATACGATTTCGAGAATCATAAATTCATATCTTCCTTAATTTTCTGAGTCATTAATGTGATAATCTTTAGGAAATATTTCTCTGTAAAAAAAAAAAATCCACATTAATGAAGGCATTAAAATCGACACTAACAATTAAATTATTTAGATGTTCAATTATTTTAAGATTCTTATATCTTATTTGATATTTTTTTTTTAATATCTCATTCTTTAATTACTGCGTTTAGAATTTATTGGTTGTTACCTATTTTTTGGTGAAATTTATTGGTTGTTACTTAATAAGTAATTATGGTGCGTTTATTTTAGTTAATATCTAATTTAAAGGATTTGTTTTCTTTTATTATTAATAAATGAATAACATGTATAGAAATAAAAGATTTTTTTTGCGACTCCATAATAAAAATATTAAACTCTTATTTTCTACATTTCTTACACATAATATCCTCTTATTCAATAGCAAAAAATATATATTACATATTTTTAAAAATATTTATAATATTTAAATTATATAAAAAATTTGTAATATTAATATTATTTCAACTCTATACAAATTTAATATATATGTATATATATCTTATGGGAACCATTTAAAAGAAATTTTTAAATTGACTTGAATTATATAGCTTTTAAATAAAAGTATTATTAAAAAGAAAAATAACTAAATAATGTTTAATTTCACGGGACGGGTAATATGATGGGACGGGTTTGGGTTGATATTTATAAAAGATCGTATACCACGGGTGAAATCCTAAAATTAACAATCAAAATAATCTATCAAACAAATTACATTTTGATTTTTTTAAGAAAATATAGCCCCGCGGTGTACCGCGGGTTAAAATCTAGTAGTATGTATTGAGATATTAGTACTTTGTGTTTCTTTTTTTTTTTGGTTTCATACATAGTTTAATGCACCAATAAAGAATTCTCAATTCAACGTAAAAAGTAAATAAATAAACCGAAACAAGTTAAATCATCGAGTTTTGAGATAGCATTATCCATTTTTTTTTTTCTTCAACACAAGAAAACGAAAATAGTATGAATTTTTCTTTTGTAAATGATATAATCTAATGTGATTGGTAAAATGTTATGAAGCATTAGTTACGAAAACTGAAGAATAATGTGTCAGAGACCGAATTGAAGAGTAGTCTTACCAAATTTTAAAATAGTGTAACCAGAAATTCAGATGCCAATCACATCTCTGATCTATTTTAAAAAAACGATGGTAATGTAATAATGAAATGGTGTGAGAGGTGTAGGCAAAATGATGGAGGATGATCGGACGGCTGAGAAAAGACGATGAGAATTGGATTGCTCTTAGAGGTCAAAGACAAAAAGTCATGCCCCAGTCGTGCTTACAAATCACGATTTACAAAAACCCATTTCATTTTCATACGCTAATAACAACTACTACAGCAACAAAACAATGTCCTATAATAATTTAGTATCAAATATCAACTAGCTTCTTCAAAATTTAAGATAGACAAAAAGTGTGGTTAATTCTCCCTAATATTTTTAATTTCACTCAAACTAGAAAATGTAGATCAAATTGTTTACTCATTTTAAAACCATCCTAATATAATATAAGCTTCTGACCAAGACATTACATTGAAACAGTTCTTGAAACATGTACACTTGTGACTCTCTCCTAACTTATCATTTTTGTTAAAAGTTTGATATTAGACAGTAAAGGAAACACAAAGCCAGAGTACAAAGTCATTTACAATCTGAAGTTTTAATGTATTTATGATAGCAGAGAAACTAGTGGAAAGAGTGATCTGCCTAAAACTCTGAGCTATGTAGACTTGGTTTGATGGTTTCATTTTCTTCGGTCTTTTCTTCCTTTCTTCATCTTCCTAAACTGCACAAAATAAGACGAAATTATATAGATAGAGACATTAAAGGTAACAATGAACTCACCAAGGGTTTTAAGAAAAGAACTTACCATGTTGAGAACGAGAATTCGAACAAACAGAGAAGCAAAGTGAGTGAAAAAGGTAAAAGAATGTTGCACATAGTCCATATCACCATGGTGTGCTTTCTCGATTATCATCTGTGTGTCCACCACTATGTATCCCACAAAGATCAAGAGTCCAAAGTATAGCTGCAAATGATGAGAATGTATGTTAATATAAGCAAGATTTTATCTACGATGAACATACAATTCTCTCCCTCTTGATGACAGAGTAGTTTACCTCAAACTTGACGACAGTTGTAGAGCCACCGAAGATCGAAGAGGCAATTTTTACCCACCAAAGGATGGACATACTACAAGAAAGTGAAGCTCCGAGGTAAAGGTACTCTCTACGCGTTGCCAACATTGCTGCAGCGGAGAAACACACAAATACTACTGCTGTTCCCACAAATGCAGTGACCAGGACGCTGGTTTAAAGAAGGAACACACAAACATTCAACATTGACAGATCCTAGAAGCTTGTGTAGAGATGTTTCTTTTTAAAGACATGAACAGAGAAATCACCTTGAATCAAAATCAATGACCAACATGATCATGGGACCAAATGAAGCACCTTTAAGAAGGGCAGATAGATACAGAAGGAAAAGCCTCTTTGCTGCATCAAAGAAAACATTAGAGTTGACGAAGGAAACAAGATTAGAAGAGAACACATTGTCAAAACACAAGTTTAAGTGATGAATGAAACCCACATTGTTGTTCATATGAAGGAGTGAAACGCAACCAGATCATGGTTCCAGTGAATCCAAGAGTAGTGACATTTCCACCGATATTCCAGACCATATGGAGGTAAGCTCCAAACGCAGACGCAAGAAGAGCAAAAAATAACGTGAGATAGACCTACACAACGAACATAGAATCAAGAAACACCAATAAAATATCTCAACTAATAGATACCAACGATCAAGAACACAACAACGAGAATCAAGAACAATACAAAATTGAACCAAGAAGAGCAAAGCATAATGTAAGATAGACCTGCAACGAACATAGAACATCAAGAAATATCTCTAAAGAAGTGCGTTTTTAAGTTTCTTTTAACTAATAGATACCAACGATCAAGAATACAACAACGATCACGAAACAATCTGTTGCATTGAAACGAAATGATTCACCAATCAATCGTATCACGAATCTCATTTCAAGAAACAACAAAGATTATGAAGACGTTACCCGCTTTAGATGATTCTGCACAGCAGGAGTGAATTCATGGAAGTTTCTGAGAGAATCATGGCTCCAAATCGTACCGTTCGCTTCCATAGTTGCTTTCGCTTGATAATGCTTCAGAGAAGAGAATTTCAAATGCAGAGACTTCAATTCCTTATTTATACGGTCACATAAATCAATTCTGTTTTGTTTCCAGAACTACCCTTATCCACGTGGAATTCCTCAGAAGAACACTCCAAAATGGCGTGGTGGTGGGCTTTTGAATACGAGCCCATTATGATCAATACTGTAGTAGACTGCAAAAACGTTACGTAGTTTCTGTTTCGGAGAAGGAAACGACATAACATGTTGACTCCGAAACAAAGAACACCATAACAATGTTCTTAACAATGAACACCATAACAATGTTATTGCATCTAATAACACCATAACACGGCTAATAACTTTATCGAAACTGTGTGAGCTGAGGAAACAAAGAACACCATAACAATGTTATTGCATCTGCAAATAGCAAGACCTGATGCTTTAGAATTCTATGCAGAGAGGGGAATGTTGAAACATGTACACTTATCACTTTGTCAATATTAAACAGTAGAGAAAACACCAAATACAGAAGTGTAGAGGAGACAGACAAATGCACGAGTCATTTACAATCTAAATTTTGTTGTATTAGTCATAACAGAGACACTAGCAAATCCAGAGTCAGAGGGGAAAGTGGAAACAGAAGATGGCTTTGTTTAAACACTCTGTTTGGGTGGTTTTAGTTTCTTCTTTTCTTCTTCTTCTCTTTCTTGTCAGCAGAGTTCTTCAACTGCACAAACGATAGGGGATATTTATGTGTTGTTATCTATAGATATTAGCCTTTAAAGATAACACTGAACCCACCAAGGGTTAAAGTAAGGAACTTACCATGATGATGAGAATTCGAACAAACACAGCAACAAAATCAGTGAAAAGGGTCAGAGAATGTTTCACATAGTCCATGTCACCTAGGTGTGCTTTCTCGATTATCTCTTGTGTGTCCACCACCATGTACCCCACAAAGATCAACAGTCCAAAATATAGCTGCAAATGATAATGTTGATAATTAGAGGACGAGCTTCAGGTAAGTATTTCGACGAAGAACATATAAACAAAACTCTCCCCTTGTTAGGTATTGAAGAGAGTTTACCTCAAACTTAAAGACAGATGCTGAGCCTCCAAAGATGGAAGAGGCAAATTGCAGCCACATAAGGATGGACAGAGCAGAAGAAAGCAGACCTCCAAGGTAAAGGTACTCTCTACGCCTTGCCAACATTGCTGCAAGCGAGAAACACACAAACGCCACTGCTGTTCCCACAAATGCAGTGATCAGGATGCTGGAAAACAAACATCCAACTGTCAGCTCCTAGAGACAATAGATTTGGGATTGTGTAAGAGGACATGAACAAAGCATACTTAAAACAATCACCTTGGGTCAACATCAATGGCCACTTTAATCAATGGACCTACTGAAGCACCTTGAAGAACAGCAGAGAGAAACAGAAGGGAAAGCCTCTTTGCTGCATCAAAGCAAAAATTTAGAGTTAAGGAAACAAACTTATAAGCTGGGACACATCTAAGTGATGAAACCCACATGATTGTTGATACGGAGGAGTTGAAAGCAACCAAATCATGCTTCCAAAGCATCCAAGAGTAGTGAGAAGTCCACCAATATTCCAGAGCATATGGAGGTAAGCTCCAAATGCCGATGCAACTAGAACACAACATAACGTCAGATAAACCTACAAAAAATTTCACAAAGAAGATAGAATCAACAACACTGAGTACTCTCCTTCACTATATCAGCACCAACATAGATCTCAGTTTTATTTGCACCATACAAGAACAAAGCGAATCTACAGAAACCAAACCAACGATACAACAACGAGAACCAAACCCTAGAATAAACGATTTTAAACAATGAAATGATTCCTAATCAATCGTACCACGAATCTCAATTCGAGAAACAACGATGAGAATAAATCGGATACGAAGAACTAACCCGCTTAAGATGATTCTGTACGGCCGGAGAGATCTGACGGAAGTTCTTGAGAGAATCATAGCTCCAACTCCTACGATTCTGAGAGTCAAAGAAGGAAGAGAACGCCTCCATTGTTGTTGCTTCAGAGAAGACGCTACTAGAATTGAAAGTGCGATTCCCCAAAATGGAAGACTTTCCTTATATACAGGTCAAATAAGTCAATATTAATCATATCCACTGGTTGTGTAATTTGACAATAATACCCTCAAGTTACGATTCCAGAAGCCACGTGGATTTTCTCAGAACACTCCAAAATCCTAGGATGGGCTTTTAATACGAGCCCATGAAGAGAATAGTCAGTTTCTTTGTGTAGAGTGGCAAAAAACGTTACGTAGTTTCTATTTCGGAAAAAGAAACGACAGACATGTTACTTCTTCGACGATAACAAGTCTATTTAGAACCACTAGTTGAGCTCTCAAGCGAAGAAGAAAGCATAACAATGGCGTTGTTCTCCCCGCCAATCTCTTCTTCATCTCTTCAAAATCCCAATTTCATCCCCAAATTCTCATTCTCTCTTCTCTCCACTAACCGCTTCTCTCTCCTTTCCGTCACTCGAGCTTCCTCCGACAGTGGATCAACCTCTCCCACCTCCGCCACCGCCGTAGAGGCTCCTGAGCCTGTGGAGGTAATAATTAAAGAAGCTCCGCAATCAACACCGCCGGTTACAAAGGAAGAAATCACCACCGCCAAAAATGTCGCCGTCGAAGGTGAAGAGATGAAAACGACGGAGACGGTTATCAAATTCCAGGATGCGAGATGGATTAATGGAACTTGGGATCTGAAACAGTTCGAGAAAGATGGAAAAACCGATTGGGATTCTGTAATCGTTGCTGGTTAGATCAGATCCTCCTCTCGAGATTTTGAGTTTTTTGCTCTGTCACTAGTAATGTTGGTGAAAACGAAATTTGAATTTTGATGTTAATGTTTTTTTTTTTTCTGTTGGAAGAGGCAAAGAGAAGAAAATGGCTAGAAGAGAATCCAGAAACAACGAGTAACGACGAACCAGTGCTTTTCGATACATCGATTATTCCATGGTGGGCTTGGATTAAGAGATACCACTTACCTGAAGCTGAGCTCTTAAATGGTTTGTGTTTTCATCATTCAAAAGATCAATCTAGTGTTACTCAAATACACTTATCTAAGATGTTACTTTTGTAGGTCGTGCTGCGATGATAGGATTCTTTATGGCTTACTTTGTCGATAGTCTTACCGGAGTAGGACTTGTCGATCAAATGGGGAATTTCTTCTGCAAGACACTATTGTTTGTGGCTGTGGCTGGAGTTTTGTTCATTCGTAAGAATGAGGATGTGGATAAACTCAAGAACTTGTTTGATGAGACTACATTATATGATAAGCAATGGCAAGCTGCTTGGAAAAATGATGATGATGAGTCATTGGGTTCTAAGAAGTGATAACAAAGATTTTCTTGCTTTCTTTGTTTTTGTTGTAATTAGGAGATGAACTTACCAAATGTAATATGAAGAGATTTGAACAATGTTTCCTCAGATTATCCTTGATCATTTCTTTTAACCATCTCTACTTCACTTAATCTAATTACTAAAGCTATCATAGCAAAGGAACTACCGGATCAGTTACGTACAAGGCTTTGATTTCTCTGCTAATAGTTGTCCTGTTTGATATATTCCAGGGTTAGGTTTTTGATTGTATGTGTAATTGCTTTAGCAATTTATTAACTGTGGAATGTATTGAAATATTTTTCTCTCTCATTCTCCCTCAAACTAGAACTTTTCATTATCATCTATGCCGATTACAAACTATGTATCAATCTTGGGATGAAATTATGTGAACTAATCATCATTGGGTTCAAAGAAGTTAAACAAAGTTTATGATGGTGTCATAAGTCAAACAAAAAGCTTAAGGAGATTTGAAGATGTTTTCTCAGGCATACTTGATTCAAAAGCTCCTTCAAGTACTCACAAGTAGATAAATTTTGGAACTATTGAATGCGTTGCTGCCGAGTGTATTCCCAGAGGGCAATGGCACCGCTGACATGAACGTTGAGAGACCTAACAACTCCAAGTTGTGGGATCTCGATACAAGCGTCCAGTATATGGATTATATCCACTGGGATGCCTTCCTTTTCACGACCCAGCACCAAAACCTTTGGAACAACAGACAGATCCGCTTAGTTTCTATGGGAAAGCCACAAGCAAGAGTAAATGAAAGGCTCTGTTCTTGTGTTTTTGCACATCAACTTACCGTCTTCTTTGGGAATTGGTATTTGTCAAGTGAAACGCTATTCGCCGTCTGTTCCAGTCCCAAGATTGAGAAGCCTTCCCGTTTCTTCTTCTCCAAGAACAGTTTCAAACTGTTTACTGGGACTTCCATGATTGGAACCCATTTCTCAGCAGTCACACTGCAGAAAAGAAAAAGAGAAAAACTCGTGTAAACTCTTGCACCGTCTTTCGATGATACAAGGATGACTAGAATATATAACCATACCTAATTAGTTGGAACTGTTTGTCGTGTATTATGTTTGCATCTGCAACAGCAAGATTTGATGCTTTAAACACCTGCAAAAGATACAGAGAGTGGATGTTAACGCTGCATTAGGTACAAGTACAAGGCTCCTAGCTTTTTCTTGCTTCCTTGAATTGCAGAAATGGTAGGGAAATACACAAAGAAGTAATAGCTATACCTCACATGTCCGGGCTAATCCAGCAAGATTAGGAATACGATCAACCAATGAAGCCACAAGGATCAAACTCTGTCGACCAGATTTCAACCTTTCGACCTCCATGCTTCTAGATCGTAAGAGCTGAGTCACGAGCTCATCTTCTTTTTCCATTTCTGAAAACTTACTTGTATTGGTACATAATCATGTTTACAAAATAATATTATCGAGAGGAATAGCTATATAATATTTGCATACCAAAGAGCCGCTTGTAAGTTTCCCCGTTTCGGAGCACAGAAGTTGAACTAGCATCTTGCTTCTCATGTTTGGAAAGAGTGATCTTCCTCTGGAAATCCAACGAAGATGGCTCAGAAATCCTTTCTTCATCTGTCGTTGATATGATCAACCGACGGTTGGGCCCTTCATCAATCTTGAAGCCTTCATTTTTGATGGTAACTACATCGTTTGCCATGGAAGCACGGAGATCTTCCCTTACATCCTGCAAGATGTGAAGATAAGGCAGAGAGACAGAAAAAAAAAAAAAAAAAAAAAAAACTGAAAAACATTCTTAAATATCTTTATTTGCTTACATTCAGAAAAGAGAGCACGTTATCCATGAGGCATGTTGGAACACATTCAAACTCACTTTCCTGCGCACAACATTCACAATATTGTCTTAAAGTAAAATGGTATTGAAATCCGAAAGCAGCTTTGTGAAATTAAAACAGCCACATGTTGAAGGATCAGTAGGAACCACAATAAAATAATCTCAATATTGCGGTCACTTAGCATTATGATAAATTTCAGAATGTCTCAATATTTCAATTAGCCCATTGGTGCAAGAACAACTTGAAGATTGCACTGTTACCTCAACACGATTTACAAAAACACCAGCTGGAGTAGCAGATGTGCTGGGATCATAGGCATCAAGAAATCCTTCCATGGATGCTCGCAATCTAGACCAGGAGAGAAAAGTCACAACTGAATTTGTGTAGTAAGCCAAAACCTTCTAAATGGCTTTGTCCACAAAAGATTGTTTCTATGACCAACATATTAAAATTATAATTACACTAAGTAGAACCACGCACCTTGAACAATCAGGATTCTTGTCCAGGTAAGACTTCAAATTCTCAAAAGAAAGTTTCTCCAGGGATATTGTATGAGAGGATGTGGACTCCACAGGGGGAGACAGTCTAAAGAGTACTCGATGCACTAATAACTGCCAAACAGAAAGAAGCTAGTATGAACTACCAGAAAGAAGACAGAGATGGCATCTATATAAGACCAACCTGAGCGAAACCACGTAAGCTATGATGATGAGAAGTTAGTAACGGTATTATTGGTGGAAGAAGTTCTCTCAGATGTGTCTGTTGAGCTATCTTTTCGGCATGGAGGATGACATTGGCTGCTACAAAGACATACGACGAGAGAGCTTGCTGCAGATTACAAGAGAACATCTATCAATATAATGAACAGAAAACTCATACCAAATACTTTCATCTTAGTTTGCGTAATTTACCTGAGCTTTACTGTCATAATTTTTTAGTATAGGAACTAACTGCTCTTTCACCTGTGATACAACAACCAAATAGTAGTTACTTCAGAGATAAACAAAAAATGTGTAATAACACAGCCCATTAGGACAGGAAACGGTTTATAGTTTGATTACAAATTTCCTTTTGGAGATACATAGAGAAGTTATATACCAATGCTGGAAATTTCAGGTAAATGTTGATGGCAAATGTTTCCAGGTATTGTCGAACAGCAGGCAGGTTATTTCTCTGCAAGCAAACAAAACACACAAACAATCAGCTTTGATTTAACTCGACAAACAAAAACTTGTATAGCAGTCACCGACACTTGTCTAGTCATCAACGCAGCAATCTTTTCCTATATTAGTTTCTGTCTGAATGGTTTCTCATGCATAAATGTGTGGGCTACTAACTTCAGTCTGTTCTTGTAAACTTACATGTAAGCATATGTGCACACTGTCCATAACTTGGCCAACAATGTCATTGCTGACAAACCGCGACATAATGCATATCATCTGCCAAGCACGTATTTTCCTTCTATGGATCTGTTACAGAAACCAGAAATTACTGTCAAAGTGGTCTGTCACTAGTAGAGATTTATCCTTTACCAAGTGTCCATCTAAAATTTAATGAAGGAACACAAAGGAAAGACATGCAACACTTACAGCACTATACTTCTTGTAAAGCTCCTTTGCCAAGTCTTTATCATGCACCTGTGCATATCATTATGATTAGATTTTCGGCATGTTGTCGTGCCTGCTAGTTGTTTTAGCAATATTTTGTGAAAACGAACAAAAAATAAGTACCGCTGCATCAAGAAGCTCCAACAGAAACAATTTTCCAGCCACAAGAGCATCCTGACAACCTTGATTTTGACTTGCTGGTTCAACCATATAGGCCAAATTAGCCAGCTTCTGAAACAGACCAGCGACAGAGACACGTGCATACAACTCCGTGTTGATAAAAAGCTGAGGAAAAATGCAGAACCTGTCACTTTACGGAGCCAAATAATTTAGCAAATCTATCAATCCATCATCTGTCAAAACTGAAATCTTACTTCTGTCAGTTCAGGGTCTGGGCTTTTGGCCAATAATGATACTTCAGTTCGTGCATCAGTATTGTCAGACAATTCAGCCTCAAAATCTTCATCAAATGCAACTAAAATCATAACAAAACGGTTAGCAATTCAATATCACAAAGTCATTGCAATAACAGCTTAAGAGAAATAAAAGCTAGTACAGACCAGAACCATAGAGCGTCAGAAGCCTCAATTCTCTAATATAGTACTTTATCGTCCTTGGGTACATGAGCCAGAGTCCTGATAGGTGCAAGGCCGCAAGGCGAATTGTGCGTGGACTTTTTTGACCTTCCTCAAGTACTTTTTCAACAAACTGTGAAACAAGACATTGCAAATAAACACATTTTTTCTCTTTGGTTCCCTCAATTAATTTAATTAAGAAGGGATTAATGCATACCCACTTCAGTGGACCTTGTCCATCTTCAGCTATGTGCATGTCTTTATTACTAAACAAAGAAGAATGCAACACAGAAGACAAAAGCGCAGCAATGGGTGCAACCCTTCTTTTTTTGCAGCTGATATGCAATATCCAACATGATTTGACCAACTGCCACATCGTCTACTTGAAAGGCATCACAAGAAATGAAATATATTTTAATTATTCATAAAGGATGAACACAAAACTTCCATCCAATCTAGATCAAAAATATTACAAAACCTGAGTATCCACACCCGAGAAACCATCCAAAGATGAATTCCCAGACGCAAGTATCCCCAAAGCGAGTCTGACAGATTTCAGCATAGGCAAAGCAGAACCCTCCCCAGCATTTTCAAGGCTGCCAAATCGTAAAGGGAAAGTTAAAGGTCATACAAAAAATATAAGCATGGTTACATCCTAAGACTACTTGAATCAAATTTATCACACATCCCACCTCTCTACAATATCTTGAAAAATGCTTTTAACTGTATCATCTGAGAAGAACGACTTTCTATCCCCTGGAGTACGTCTGGCATCAAGAATATGCATGACTGATAATAGAGACTCCACACAAAGCCACTGAATCAAGTACAAAAGGGTCAGAGACTCAGAATTTTCCTTTGGCCATCCAAAAGAAAAAGGCCACTGATAAGATCTTGTAATATGTATGATTCACTGGTAAACGGCTATAGCACTGTCACCTAATAAAACTATGCATTACCTTCCAGCTTAGCAGAACTGCCCTTCTACTTCTTACCAGAACTCCTGCTGTGAGAAGATGGTTAATGTTATGAAGGAAAGCCGGAACCGAAACTTGTAACCAAAATTCACCATCTACCATGGTTAACAATGTATTATCGTTTTCTAAAAGGTTGAAAGCTCCAGCTGAGCACAAGGACACAAATGCATTCAGTACTGCAGCTAGCGCCTCAAATGCTGCAAGATAGATCTCAGCTGCGGCCTGGTCAGAAGCATTTATAGTGAATTAGTGCAATGTGATTCCATAGAAGACATAAGAAAGCTGAGAGCTTAACACAATACATGCATCTTATCAAACTTGACAATTCACAAGCAGGGATTACCTCAGAATTACAAATTTGAGGTGATATGGTATGCTGGGTGAACTTCCAAAAGAAACCCAATGCTAATTTGAGTTCACCAACACCACTAGTGAATTGAGCACAGTATGACGAGATCAACCCAATGGTTTTCACCGACAATACCTGCCATCATAAAGAACTGGCATGAAACTTGTTCAATGTTGTCGTCAAGGAACTGAGCTTACAGAAATTTGTAAGTTATTGTCCTACAAGGAACTAAGCTCATGGAAATTTGCGTGTAATTGTCCTATAAAAACAAGAAGAAAAGAAATCATACAGCTTCCAGTACAGCTGTTGTAGTAGGAATAGATAGCCGGCGTTGACTTGGACCCCCTAGTTTTCCTGTGACAGAACCAGGCAGAGCACCATTCTCCACAGTAGTGTGAGACCAGAATATTGAACAAGATGAATCAGCAAATTGAATCAGCTCCTTCTGTATCGTCAGACCAGGAAAGAACCATCATATCATAGTAAGCCAAGTTAGTGAGAGAACAATTATATTATTGCGTATCAAGAAAAAATGTTGGCACATACCAGTATTGATAAGAGAACAACAGCAAACTTTTTCTTAATATTGGAAGCATTGCCAACAATCTGCTTGCCAGTTTCCTCATTAGAGCCAATGCACGACTTTCTTTTCACCGAAGAACTAAGCTCAGAAATTCCATCTTGCATGTTCTGGAGCTCTAAAAGCATACTCAGAATAAAGATTAAAAACTTGGCAGGTGTTCGTTCTAAATGGTTCTTCTCTTGGAAAAAACTAAGGCCGCTATTTTGCACAAACTGCAGAGTTAGAGATGATTGTCAAATTTGCAACGTGTTACACCTAAAAGTATCCAATATGCAAAAAAACTACCAGAAATATTTTGTTGACAGGTCAAAATCAAAGTCAAGGAACACAAACCATTATGATATCAGTGAGATATTTTTCTTTATTAATTATGAGGAACAATACTCTTGCCCATCGTTTTGTTTGAGAATCCCATGCTTCCAAGTCTTCATCATCAAAACTCTCAACATTATCACTGATAAATCCTTTCAGATACTCATAAAGGCTAGCCAGAAGACGGGTGCCATCAGTACATAAACTGTTGGAAATCTTTCTGTTGCACCCCTGGAGCCATTCTAACATCATTTTGCGCAATGAACCTGACATAGAAGAAAACATATGATATTAGAGAATGACCTTTCATTTATTTTCCATATGTAAATAGTCTCCCGCTCACCATCATGGTCAGTAAACTCCCGAGGAATTGCTGAAACAAACTGCAATAGTGTTCCAAGAGGTACATTACAAGGGTTCACCGCAGAAGCAGCAGTTTCTAACACTTTTTGATAAACTAGAAAATGGAAAAAAAAAAAAACAATCGAAAGAAGGACTTTTAGTGTGTTTAATATCATGAGGGAAGCCACAAAATTGTAATTCCACATACGTATAATTAACTCTAACAAGATAACTGATTAGTGACCTCGAATACGGTATTTATGATTAAAATGCTGTCTGCTGCTCTCTGCAACAAACTTCAAGACATCCAGTATATGTGTCATATCATCTTGACTTAAATGTTCACAAGAAGGTTCATGGGCAGTCCCAGAAAATTTATCTTCAAGGTGCCCCATTTCCTTGTCCCCGTATCCTCCAACCACATATGCCGTAGAAACAATGCATTGTACGAGAGCCATAAATCCAGCTCTACAAAAAGACTGTTTCTTCGCAAGAGATGCCAGGTTGATCAAAAATCCAACCCGATTCCTATGACATGAGTAAAGAGTTCAATAATCATAATGATTAAATTTTATGGTTTAATAATTCACAGACCCTTGAGAACATATCCAGCCGCACATGACCGATAACGTATTTACATGTAAGCAACGAACATAAAAAGTTGGAATTGTAACTTGAGACATCTACCTTGGGTTGAGGCAACTTGTGTACGCACACACATATTGAGCTGCACCTTCAATTGTTCTTGAGGTATATATTCCTTTCAGCCCTGGGAGAGCAGAATAAGCAAGAAATAAGTCTAGTTATCCGTTGTCACTTCGGCAAGATGGCAGTAAAACAATGAAGAGTTCCAATACAATTTATTAAAGACATTGGAATACATTTCTGCAAGAAGCACATACCAAAATCCTTGTGGTGTGTAGGATCATTCAAACCCTCTATGAAAGGCCCAAGAACGAAAGTTTGGGACATTGATTGTGTACATGTTTTGTATCTCCTCCACTCGATACCGAAAAAAGACTCCATGACCGTGCACCTGACTACAATTTAAATAGATGAATAAGAAACAGAACTGATATGAAATGGAGGTCTGAATTAATCAAAATGTGTTGCCAATGCCAACATGGATACTTTACTCTAAATGATGCTCTATTTGAGTAAAAGAGAATTTTGGCCACAATGGGACCACTTCAGATACTGATTTTATCTGATGAACAAGTGTAAAAATTTGTTGTATTCTAACTACACAATATGCTCCAACAAGCAAACAGTACCTAGAGGGTTATCATGACGAAAGCCTCGATTCCAAAGAACCTCTAACCAATTAAATATTTTAGCTTCTTCATCTGGAGTTTCCATGTGACCATGATGAGAGTTATTACAGTCGGATTTCAAGGTTCCATCATATCTGAGAGATGACTTGATTAATAAATCAATCTGAAAGGTAATTAAAAAAGCAATGAGCAGAGGAGAAAAGCATCAAGAGTAGAAAATTTACATATACCAGAGAGATAAAAACCTGACCTGGTTACTCCATGCTGCTTCTACAAGATGGGTGCCATACTCTTCAAGCATCTCATACAAGAGCAGAAAAGCTTGCCATCCTTGCTGACTAGTCAACCCAGAGTCGACAGAGCCATACAATTCTCCGACACCAAGCGACTTGGCTTCCTTTTCTGCCCATGTATCCTTTCTTGTCATTGACCGATTACCTGAATTCCCTTCAGGCTTCTTCTCAGAACTGGTCTTACTCACTTCACTTATGGATAAAACTGATTTTAGTATATGCAATGACTGCTTCCTTACTAAGCTCTCATCAACAACCTGAAACGAAATGTTTTGTACACATGGATGACCCTATTGGGGAAACTGGAGAATCTGTAAGAATAGCACAATTGATCGATATTTTTGCCATACCAAGCCTATCTTGATTTCATCCCAAAACTCTTGTTCGGATCTCAAGTCAAATTCGACAGCTTCTTTTTCTGAAACAAAACTTTCAGTTTCGTCTGTCCAAGAGCCAGAAGAAAGACACAAAGAGAGGACACTGTAAGCATCCCTTCTCTCTATTGATCCAACCGAGAACAGCTTCTTGCAGCATTCCCAAATTCTTTTTTTGAAGCCATTCCTGGAGTTTAGTAGTTTACAGCTTTACAAATCATAAAAGAGATCAAAGAGAAAACTAACCAAAAAGCACATAAAGTTTTGGTTCTTAACCTCACCTTGAAAGTATGTACATATTTTCTTGGTGTAAGATCTTCAAGGAGGACTGAGAAGAGAATGCCTTGAAAATAGCAGGGAGGAGGAAACTAACAGCACAAGAACGATGTTTTAAACTTTGAGACAAAAGCCGCTCAGTCATATTACACAAATCCCAAAGCATACCAGCTGCAAAACTTTCCATCTCTGGAGCTGCTTGGCGACTTTGAAAAGCAGCATTCAGAATCAAATTCAGAAGATGGCACGACAGTGGAATTGGAAATGATTCAGACAAATTTGCAATGTAGTTCTCATCCATATTTGTCGTATTCAAAGAATCACGAAGCAACAGATCGCCCCATTTGATGAAATCTGATTCTTCGTGTTGAAGCATTCCCATTGAAACACCAATTGATCTCAGTAAAAATGGCACCAAGCTCACTCCCAATACACTAGTCTCAATCACTACATCAAAGAACGATTCTACAATCTGGTACAACCAAACAAAGAAAAGCAAAAAAAAAAAAAAAATGATCAATAGTCTAAAGGAGATCAAAACTATGAGGATTATGGCAGTATAAAAAACTTACCTTATTAAGCATATCCAAATCATATGCACGAACCATCTTCATGAGTGGAATAAACACTCTCCACACAAATAACTGCAACGCATTATGATTATCTGCAGTACCAAAGCCTGCTTCAACCTCAAAACCCTCAATTAATCAATTCTCTAACCCCATACATATCTGAAGATTCAAAATTGGTAACTCACCAAAATTCCTTAGTAGATGACAAAGCCCAGCCACCAATGAAGCAATGTGGTTGCAATCATCAGAATCAAATCTCTTGTCCCCATTTACCGTGTCCTATTAAAAACATGTTCCAATCTTAAATTGAACAATCCGAAGCAAATTACCAAAGTGTGAAACAATAAACCAATCAATCAATACCTCTAAACGAAAAGGAAATTGCTCGATAAGAGATTCGAAAAGGGTTGAAGAAGATACGCCTGTGGAGCTTAAAACACAATCAAGAAAAGCGGGAACAGCTGCTGGTGGAACTTGCTTGAAGCTCAGTGACAATGAAGTAATCACAGACGAATCCATTTCAATTGAAACTTCGAGCTTCGAAAAAATGGCTGCAAGCAGCCGAATTAGATGAATAAACGTGAACGAATTTGAAATTAGTTCAGAGAGAATTGTTACGAAGAATCCCTTTGTTAAACCCTTTTGGCTCTTACTTTCAAATAATTTTCATGGCTTAGGACAGATAAACCCTAGTTCGTATAATTAGGGGGAAAATTAGAATTATTGATATGGGCTTGATTGGGCTTAATTGGGCCGAACGGATAGACTTCAGGAAAAAAAAAAAAAAAGGAATCCGGAATTAGTTCGGGGGATTGAACCCGACGTGAATCGAACACGCAACCTTCTGATCTGGAGTCAGACGCGCTACCATTGCGCCACGGATCCGAATGTTATTATCTTGCATTATAACTTATAAGTATATAATTTTGATTTAGATGCTAATAAAATTTTGATATAGATGCTAATAAAAAAAAAACATTTTGAGGACGCGTTCCCAACACGTCCGGTGACCAAAGAGTCAATTATGATCAAGAAAATTAATATACTGCATTACGATATTTATTAGTATTGTTTTGAACGATAATCACGTGGTCTGGTCGTGATTAAGGTCCTAATTATGTCAACGTTTGCCTGCCACATTGCAGACCGATGTACTAATTCCACACCGACTGGTCTACGACATATTTTAATCATAAAACACATTACTATATAATTAAATTGATTCGAGATATCTTAGAGAATTGGCTTCATGATCTAATTAATTTAGTTAATATACATAAGCTAAAATTATATAACTATTTCAACAGATAATTACAGTTAGAGCCCTATAGGCTTCCCAGTTGTCAGTAGTGCTATGGTTTTAAAATGGCACCCTGTAAATATCATACTATAGATTAGTGGATTTATTTTACCAAAAAAAAAATGTTCATGGATTTAAACACTTGTTTTTTTTTTTAGATAAGCAAAATCAAAAGAAGATATGGTGACCACTAACACGATCAGTCGAAGAAAAACGTTTCCCGAATTTATTATTGGCGTTTCCATTTTGCTCCCATAGTCAAATTATGGAGCATCGCAAACTATCTAATAAACTAATTATATAAAAAGTTATTATGATACATGGTCACCAATTCCGTATATTCAGAATATTCCTTAGAGGTGCCATTTTGACTTATAAAATGGACGGATCTTTGATTGTTTCCGGAAAGTGAATGGATATTTGAAAAAACCGAAGTTTTGAATCTATCTTTTCCAAATATATTTTTCCATTCAACCATTAGTATACATAATTTTGTTCTGAACATAGAATAATATCGTGTATGCTTACGTAACAATCAAATAAAGTTGTAAAAAAAAAAAAGACAGAAGATAATTAAAATAGTACAGAATGAAGAAACGTAACAGAAATCAAACTATGGAAATTAGGTACAATTAGGTTCGGTCTAACTGAAATATATAAACGACAACAAAAAAAACGATGATTCTATTAACTTCCAAAACTGACTCGTCTCACACGCGCTTACTAAGATTCACACGTGCGAATAATCCATCATATAAGACACTACTAAAATTCATTCTCAATTCTTTTACACTAAAGGAAAACAAAAATAAATAAGAAAAAAGCATCTAGAGAGTAATTGATCTCAACCGTCCGATCATTCATCTTGCCATCACCGTTCACCAATCTTCTTCGTCTCCTCTCTCTGTCTCTTTCTTTCTATCTTTCTTTTGCTGTTTCTCGCTCCTCTCTCTCTCTGGATCTCGCCGGCGAGCCATTTCTCTTGGGTGGTGAGTGTTGCTTCTGATTTTTTTTTCTTTCTATTTCCGTCAAATTTCGTTGTTTAATTTGATTTTTGGTCTGTGGAATTCTCGATGTGCCTACATTGATCTTATGGTTTCGAATCATAATTTTGATTTCATATCTCTACTCTTTGTTATGGATTCGAAAGAGCTTTGTATTTTTTTTTTTCCCTTATTGATGCTACTTTTGCTAGGGTTTACACTTTTCCTTGTATGTTTTTCTTCTAGACTGTTTTCAATTTTTACGTTTCACAAAGTTTATTTGATGGTCTGCTTTTATTGAAATGGCATTGTTCGTCTCTCTCTTTTTTTTTGTTTCTGAATATTTTCGTGTTCTGTTTCCATGAAAGATGTGTAGATTCTAAGAAGATGTTTGTGATGATTGTGCAGTAAACAGTAGGTAGCAATCAAGTTATAGCAATCTCAGAAATCGCTGTTGGATTTATCCGCCTTTGTTCGTAATCTGCGGATTGGTTTTTAAGGTTTTACCGTCTTATTTTCATCTGTAAATGGGCTGCTTCCACTCAAAGGCAGCAAGAGAATTTCGAGGACACGAAGACCCTGTTAAGCTTGCCTCTGAGACAGCTTGTAAGTTTACTTGCTCAATAAGTTTAAACCTCCTCTAGTTTAATTTCAATCTCAGAGATGAATCATCAGTCAGATCATATTCCACCCTTCTCTATTCACTAATATATGGGTTTGGATTTAATTAGTTTTGTTCATTATGTTTCTTGTCTGCATCAATAACTGTCAAGAAGGATGTTTGTCACCATGCTTTATATTGATATTCAAAAAACTTTTGTAGTGGATAAATTTCTTTGTTTGTTCCTGGTTCTTCTTTTGTTTGATCTCGTAGTGTCGCTTGTTTTTTTCTCTTTCCAGTTAGTGTGAGTGAGGTTGAAGCATTGTTTGAGCTGTTCAAGAGCATAAGCAGTTCGGTTGTTGATGATGGTCTGATAAACAAGGTACAAAGATTGATAAAGTTTGTTTCTTTTGACCCAATTTGGATCTTTCATGATGACCCCATCGTAGTATCTTTTTGTTCTTTACGCTATTCATCTACAGTATTTTTCAACTTAGTTGACTTTATTTGAGCAATAATTATTCTTACATGATGATCTGTCTGTTCCATATTGCATCGATTCAATGTATCGTAGCCCTTAATGTTTGACTTGAATTGTTAACTTATTTTATTGATTGCTTGGATTTTGAAATATGAGGCTTTCTTTCATGGCCCACTGTATTTATGTTGTTTTTTAAATTCTCGATTCACTTGTATGCAGGAGGAGTTTCAACTTGCATTGTTCAAAAGCCGGAAGAGGGAGAATATATTTGCTAATAGGGTAAAAACTAAGTTCATCAGCCTTTAACAAATTTGGTCTTTAGGAAGAGTGATTTGAACCAAGAACTCTTTGTTAATCAATAAGATAATATGTCCATGAAACTAAACAATGATGCTTCTTTGCAGATATTTGATATGTTTGATGTTAAACGAAAAGGAGTCATCGATTTTGGGGACTTTGTAAGATCACTCAATGTTTTCCACCCAAATGCTTCTCTAGAAGACAAAATAGATTGTAAGTTGTCAAAAGACAGTTTCATATCTAGTGTTTGTCGAAGCCTTTACGTGAAGAGTTTTATTGATTCTGGTCTGCGAGTTTTTCTCAGTTACGTTTAGGCTTTATGACATGGACTGCACGGGTTACATTGAACGCCAAGAGGTAACGATAATTTGCAAGCTTTGAATACTAGTCATGAAAGATGTTTGCCATGTTCTTGATTCTCCATCTTTTACTTAATTACTTTACAAAAAAATCGTTACTGAATGTGATATGTTTGCAGGTCAAGCAAATGCTAATCGCCCTTCTCTGCGAATCTGAAATGAAACTGGCTGATGAAACCATAGAGATAATACTCGATAAGGTTTGTTGTTGTCTAAGGTTTTGTTTTTCTAGATTGTATACATATAGAGATAATGTACTAAATGTGGTTTCTTTCATTCATGAACAGACATTTGAAGATGCAGACGTGAATCAAGATGGAAAGATTGATAAACTAGAGTGGAGTGATTTCGTAAACAAAAATCCATCATTGCTTAAGATCATGACTCTTCCATATCTCAGGTATAATACAAATTGCCTTTTATGCAAACCAAAAAGACAACAAATATTTGAAAAGATGCTAAACGGAATCTTCCAAATCATATTTATTTATTAACGTATACACAAAACTATGCAGGGATATAACGACAACGTTTCCTAGTTTTGTCTTCAATTCGGAGGTCGATGAGATTGCCACATGAAGAAACAATATGGTTGAAGACCGAGTCGTATTTGGAAGAACAATTCTGAGCTCATCGGTGTAATCAACATCTGTTTGTAAAACCAGTAGTAGATCATATTTTCTTGAAATTGTTTGGGTTCCTTTTTTCTTCTCATAACAGTTTTGAAATTAAGGTTTTTTAGCTTACAAAAAAAAAGAGCGTAATCACCAATCCTTCACTGCATATAGTTAGGAAATGTTAATGAGTTTTGTTGTACATATTATTACATCATACGTTTGTTGTAATTGATTTTTTCTAAGTAAAGAAAGATTAAAATGTTACAAAAGTCATAGATGTCAAGCGCATTAGGCGCAGCCGTGAGAAATTTATAATTTTGATGTGGAGCCTACCGTTACTATGCATGCATAGTAACTTATCTTTTTCTCTATAAATAGAACGTTAAACGTTCATTGTAAAATCACAATTCATACTTCAACAAGAAGAAGTTATAAGAAATCTCTCTCCTCCTCTCATCTCTTTATTTTCAGTATCCCGATCCTTCTGCGAGTATAAATTCTTTCTCCATTATTTATATTTATATACACCATAAAATAAAGTAATTATTATAACACGTTATCAGCACGATCACTCTATGATCGCTAAAAAAAAATACGGTATTATACCGGGCTGTATGTCGCCTCGTTAAAAGAAAAATATGAGAATGAAAAAAAAAAAAAAAAAAAAAAAAAAAAAAATAGAAAAGAAAATTATATAAATAAATAAAAGAAACTATATTACTTCATGCACCATAATTAATTATTTTCTGTCAATGGTTGGCTGAGCCACCTGAAATTTTATTTACTGCTTTAAATATTTATTTCTGTTGTCGGTCGGCTGAGCCGCCTTAATTTTATGCACTGCTTTAAATATTTATTTCTGCTACCGGTCGGCTGAGCCGCCTTAATTTTATTCACTGCTTTAAATATTTATTTCTGCTACCGGTCGGCTGAGCCGCCTTAATTTTATTCACTGCTTTAAATATTTATTTCTGCTACCGGTCGGCTGAGCCGCCACATATTTATTTACTGTTTCTATGTGAATGACTCCGTGACC